CAAATACTTCGTAGTTTTTTTTATCCAAACTAAATATATATATATATATATATATATATATATATATATATATATATATATATATATATGCTAATTAATATCCTGAACCTGTATCAATCAATAAGGAAGGAAATGTTAATATGTTACGGCATATTCTTAAATGCATAAGGGTTCATCTAAGCTGGCTGCACCACTCATCAAATACCTCCTTTTATACACCAAACACACATTATACTATGTACTACTGAAGTACTGGTATACTTCCTCTATTTTCTTTTAAATGCAACATACCTCTTCGACACGCACTTTAAATAAGAGATTAAACAATATGTAAACGGAAAAATTAATCAATATAATTTATACACATAGTAACTAACCCTTTTCTAATTATAGTGTTAAAATTATTTTGTTAAATTCGCTCGTTTGCCTACTCTAATCAACTCCTAAAAAAGCGGGTCAAAAAAGTGTGTTGCATTTAAAAGAAAACAGAGGAAGTATATTACTTCATCTCCTTCCTATTTTATTTTTTTTCCTTATTTCTTAACTTTTACATAAATTTTTCTCTTTTTTCCAAATTTTTTACTTAATTCTTAATTTTGGTTGAAATGTTCTCTCTCCACTGTGTTTGGCATTATATTCATCTTTTATGATTTTCTCTCTCCTCCATATTTTGTATTTTCGTTGATTCGTGATGGCTTTAATTGGAATCTTGAAGAGATGGTTGATATAAGTTAGTTTATGTTATTGATTTGTAATTTGGTTTAATTGGTTATATTTTCTGCATTTGTGATTGATATTAGGTATATAATTTTTGGGTAATTTGCCAATTTGTAATAGGTGATGAACACAAATTGATTGTAGTACTTTTCTCTTCACTTTTCTTTCCTATAATAATTTTAATCAAAATTGTCATCAAAATTTCGATCATAATTTTCATCAAAATTTTATTCTCTTCTGTTTTTTCTCTTCGTTCTTCATTTTCTCTCTCCTCTGTTTTCTTTATTTTTCTCTTTTGTTTCACTTTTTCGATTGATTTTGTTGCTTACTATGGAATTAGTTGTTACTCCTTAAAAGATCATCAATACAGGTTAGTGTTTTGTTTTGTTGATTGTAATTAGTGTTTTTTTTTTAGGTTATATTCAATTGTAATTGTATTTTGTTTAATTTCTATCAATTTGATCTATGTATGAATTTCGATTTTTTTTGTGGTGATTTTGTAATGAATTTTGATCAATTTGATTAGGTTTGTGAACATGCAATTCATATGAATTGAATTTACGGCCTTTAATTATGAACATAAGAAAATTGAAGAAATAAAAATAAAATGATTATAAAACATATGCATTATAAGTATAAAAGTATGAACATATGCACTAAAAATATGAATATATGCATTTTAGAAAATGAACATACGCATTCAAAATATGAACATATGCATTGGTTCATTTTTTGAATGCATATGAACATAATTAAGCATTTTAGAAGGTGAACATATACATAAAAAAAATGAACATATGGATTTAAAAAAGTGAACATATGCATTTCAGAAAGTTTACATAAGCATTTCAGAAAGTTTACAAAATGATTCAAAAAATGAGCATAAGCATTTAAGAACGAAATTGAACATATGCATAAAAAATATGAACATATGTATTTCAGAAAGTGAACATAAGCATTCTAAATATGAATATAAGCATAAACAGACAAAACAGACAAAATGAGAACATTTTATGAACATTAAGAATATTTATCATATGAACAACAAATAATAATATTATGAACATTTCAAAACATTTTATGAACATAAGGTATCCGTTTGATTTCACTAATTTTTTTAACAATTCCAATAAAAATTTCGAACAACAGAGTATCGAACAACATTCAAACAAAATTAAGTCATATTCATATAAATTCAAACAAAATTAAGTGCAATTTACATAAAATTACCTTTTTTAGGAGAATTTGTTTTATTTTCATCTCATCTCAAATATCCATGGTTGTTTTGGAGAGAGAGTGAATTGTGTTTGATTGTAAGAGAGAGAAAAACAAAGAGAGGAGTAATAAATTTCAGAAAATTTAAGTTTGAGAGTGACAATTTTCTTAAAAAAATTATATTTTTTAAAAAAATAGTTGTTGGAAGTGACAGTTTTGTGTAAATGACAATTGGGTGGGCTGCATTTTAAGAATATGTTCAGTTTTTTGGGTGGGCTCGTTTTGATTTGGGTTTGAAATTGGGCTTGTGGGCTGGCGTTGCAACTAAAATAGCTGCACAAGAGTGCAACTTAGACCAATTGATATGTTACCGATGTATGATTACACTAATTCAAACTTGGCCCAATGTAAGAATTAGGCATCTAAAGCCCAGATGGAAACATGGAGCGGACGGAAGTGGACCACTAGGCCACTATGGTGGGCTTCAACCATGTCAAATACTGAACAATGGGCTGATTGTTGGTAATTAGACTTATAACGCTAATCTATCTATACTAATCTATCACATAGAGCTCCTTACTATGCCACGTCACCCACTCAACCACTTATTACGCCATGTGGTTCTCCCTTTCATTTGTTTTTCATATCATGCACCCATAATAAAAACAAAATCTCCACAAGATTAAACACGCACCCTCTAATTCTACAACTAAGTGTCTTACCACCAAGATATGTGATTTTTTATGCTATTTTTTGAATACAAAATATTAATATGTATATGATCAATAAATTTAATTATAAGAAAATTGAGACATAAACTACAATGTATATTAATGATCAACCTCATGTAATAACCCGGGCATCGTCCGGACCTAAAAACTAGTTATTAATTAATATTATATGAGTTGCTTCAAAGATCTGATAAATTAAACCAAGAACCAGGCGACTAACTATAGTCCATTTCTTAGATTATTACTTCGTATCAATAATATGACAATATCTTCACCAAGTTAAACTCAACATCTTATAATATAATGATGCACCATTGCACCAATAAGGTCTTAGTTTAATGACAAAAATTGAGAATTTATGTATAATAAGTTGTCGCAAGTTTAAATCCTCGGAACAAAAAAAATATACAAAGTACTAGTATATGTAAGCAAGACTACAAGTAATCCCAAGTTTGTTCAATAACCTAAAGTATTACATGATATCTAAAGCCAATACTTTTTAAGAACTGTAAATCCATGTAATTTATAGGGTAATACTAATCATCTTCAAATTCCATATAACATGTACATGACTCAAAAGGAGCCCTTATCAGTTGATTTTTCGTAGCAATAAACATTAATATTTCTATACCACAATTAGCATTCTTTAGGCATAAAAACATTTAAGTTGGTCCAATTTTTCTTATATTCGCCATAAATTAAAAAAAGAAAAAAAGAGAAAAAAAAAAAAAAAAGTCTTGATTATGTGTTGTCATTATTGCTTAGTAGCAGTTGAGTTTTATGACAAAACAAAGGGAGGTCTTTTGACAACTTCATAACTTAAGAGAGTTAAAGATATACTCTACCTATTATTAAAATTAAGAAAATTTAACAACAATGAACCAATATTTTCTTCGTTGTTCCAAAATTTACCAACCTTTATATCTGTCCAAAATAAACCCAAGTTTGTAATTTTTCTCTCTTTGTAAACCCGAATGACCTATGACCTGAACAACCGGTCATTTTTTTTATTTTCCTTTAATTACTTTTTAAAATTAACATAATAAAATAAATAAAATAAAAAAAAAAACCTCAAACCTCCCCCAAGGCCACAATCCCACTGCCAGCCCTTCTTCCCCCCACCCCACTGCTGCCAGCCACTCCCTCCTCCCCCTGTCGGCGATCGGCGCCCAACAACCACCACCACTTCAACCGGCGGGTGGTTGTTGTTTGTTTGTTTTATATTTATGAAAGGGAATCACCCTAACAACCACCACCACTACTTTTGCCACCATTCACTTCACCACATATCCTCATCGCCCCTCCCAACCGACCGCCACCCGCCGACGCCACTTCCCCTCCTGCCTACTACTTTTAGACAATGTATATATTATTCCCTAGACTGCTATTAATGACTGTGTAATGATTCCCTAGACATCATTTACCTAGGCTCTTTGTACATATACTCTGCTAAGCAATGTGAATAGCCACGGATTACATTCCTACATACCGTCACTCTTCTCTCTCTCTCTTATTTCTAAGTGTTGTTAGATCTAGTTTCTTGGTTGTTTTTGTGAGTAATTGTTGTTAGATCTAGTCTTGTTTGGATGTTTTTGGGTTGTTTATGGGGGTGGTTAGGGGTGTTTACGGAAATGGTTAGGATTTTTTTGGTGGTTTTCGTGGTGGATGTGGTGGTTTTTGAGTGGTTTCATGGAGGGTGGGGAAAAGGGAGGGAGGGAGGGATGGTGGTCGCCGACGGCGGAAAAATGGGTTGGGCGCCGGCCGCCGGCAGGAGAGGGGGTGGCAGTGGGGAGGAGGGGCTGCAGTGGTGGGGAAAGGGAGTATTTTTTTTAATTACCAAATTAAAAATGAAAATAAATAATTCATTAAATTATCAGAATTTTTTTTTAAAAATAAATTAACTAATAAGGATATGACACGTGGATTGCAACCTGATATAACAGGTTAACTTACCTGTTTGGTTAGTTGGTTTAATATGGGAAACAAAAATTAGAAACTTAAGTTTATTTTGGACATATTTAAAGATTGGTGCATTTTTAGAGAATAAAACAAAAATTGGTTTATTGTTGTTAAATTTTCCTTAAAATTAACTATTTAATAATTTGAATGTAATTAGTAAAAGTCAAATTCGAATTAATGAACCATTCAATTATACGAAGTAAATGTTTGTCGTTGAATTGAAAATTTCGTGCTGACATAGGTTTTATCTAGTAGAACATTTTTAAAATAATTTTATTAAAGACTTGCACAACTTTATTTATTATAATAGTGATTTTATGTCATGGAATTAATCCAAGCAATGGCTTATATAAAGGCCGTGAACATATCATTTGCTTCACAACTCATCTTCATTTAGCAATTTCATAGCTTTTATCAAAAATCCCCTAGAAAACAATAGAACTCTCTTGTGGGAATCATCTGATTTAAGTACGTCCATCTAACAAAATGGCTCTAAATTATGCTTCAGTCATATCTTTCTTATTCATGACCTTGGTGGCGGTTTCATTTGCTCGTGAATACCCCACCCCAGGGTATATGGCACCATCGTACTCTCCACCATCGTACTCTCCAGAGTACAAGGCACCATCGTACTCTCCCGAGTACAAGGCGCCTATTTATAGCCCAACACCAGTATACAAACCACCGGTTTACTCACCACCACATGTGTATGAGTCTCCAGAATACACTCCATCACCAATGTACAAGTCCCCAACTTACCCACCTATGTACAACCCATCCCCGGTTTACAACTCTCCAGAGTACAAATCTCCTGAATACAACCCATCACCAGTTTACAAATCTCCCGAGTACAAATCTCCTGTATACACACCGTCACCGGTTTACAAATCTCCTGAATACACACCGTCACCGATTTACAAATCTCCCGAGTACAAATCTCCCGAGTACACACCGTCACCAGTTTACAAATCTCCAGAATACACACCATCACCGACTTACAAATCTCCTGAATACACATCATCACCGATTTACAAATCTCCCGAGTACAAATCCCCCGAGTACAAATCTCCTAAATATACCCTATCACCAGTTTACAAATCTCCAGAGTACAAATCTCCAAAATACACCCCATCACCGGTTTATGAATCTCCAAAGTACAAGTCTCCAAAATATACCCCTTCACCAGTTTACACTCCACCAACATACGGATCTCCTTCATACACTCCATCACCAATTTATTGATTATTATCACCTCGTCACAAACGCGCTAGACCTACTAGTCTTCTACATATATACACCGAGTATTCAATTTAACCATTGCAATTAGGTTTGGTAAATTTTTCATATCTCATGTTCGTTTTATGTTCAAAATAAATTGACTATATTTGTCAGCTAATAATAAGCTTGTGTATTGTACAGGCTATTTGTGTAATATAATCTACAGATTTATAAATAAAATGTTACGAGTACAAGTTTTTTAATTCTGATGTATTACGTAGAATTATTATTTGCTTGAGGTGCCATATACATCTAGTAAATTATTAATGTTATAATTTGGTCAATGCATATACTCCCTACAACGGTACGGCTATAACAATTGACCAGATTAGTAAATAAAAAAGACCCTTAGTTTGGTTAAAAAAAAAAAAAAAAAAAAAAAACTAACCTCAAGCGACAATTTGGTTAAAAAAATATCTCAGCCTCTCAGGCGACAATTAACCAAAAAACACAAAAATTTCCGACAAACTACTCGCGAATGCTTAATTTAGTATAATTTTCGTGGGTTTTTTTTTTTAAAATAAAAAATTTCTCACCTAATTTTCCAATCCCTTTTAAGATATTAAGAATTTTAAGTAAAATAACATTTAAATACTAATTTTCCTACCCCTAATCAACGAAATTCTTCTTAAAAAAGAGGTTGGAGATAAATTTAATATCGGAATTTAGCAAAATAAAAAGGGGAAGACATAATAATTCAAATTTTTAAATGGGAAAACTAAATTTAAAAACACAATAACGAATTAAATTAGGATTTTTGAAGAGTTTGTCGGAAAAAAATTAGATTTTTTGGTCTAAATGCCCAAGATGATTTTTTTTACCAAATTGTCGCTTGGAGTTTTTTTACCATTGTCGCCGGAGTTATTTTTTTACCAAATTGTCGCTATGGGTCTTTTTTATTTACTAATCTGGTCAATTGACCATTTTTTTTAAGAAAGTTATTAATGGTTAAAAAAAAATATAAAGACCTCAAACTAAAAAAAATAATCTAAAAACTGCCTGCGTAATGGTCTTGTGACATTTTCGTTTAAAGAAAGTTAGTCAAATTTTAAAATGAAAGAGGGTTTATTCAAATTAAAAGTGAATCACATTTTTGATAATTTAAGACATAAAATCAAATTATTGTTGAACATATAATTGGTTTTTAGTAGTAATAGCAAGATTGTCCGGATCAGGATCCTACATTGGATCGGTGAGAGGAATAGAATCAAATCGGTAAAATCGGTCGTAGGATCGTAAGATCCTACGAAATTGATAAAGGGAGTAATAAAAAGGTTGTTAGATAACTAGGTAAGATTTTTTAAGCCAAACAATGGTAAAATTTATAGTTTTAGTAGTTGGATAGTAATTTTCTTAGCTTAGAGAAAAGTTTGATTGCTTTAGGCTCATTTTAATAAGTAAAAAGTAGGATCGTACGATCCAGACCGATCCTACCCGATTTTGATCGATCCTATACGATTTTGTTTGATCCTGACCGATCCTGTACAATCCAATAGTAATTTAAGTGGAAAACAAGATCGTCCGATCCCACCCGATTCTGTATGATCCTACAAGATTCTACTTGATCTTGTACGATCATGGTCGATCCTACAACGATCCTGCTTGCTCTGCGATTATGCATCCGATCCGAATCGTTTGGCTAAAATGAGATCTTAGGATCGCACGATCCTACGATCCAGATCGCGATTTTGACAACAATGAGTGTAATACCCCGTATTTTTGAAACGTATTTTCTAATTAATTTATTAATATATTCTAAAAAAGGGTATTTTACTAATTTATTTTACTATTTGAATTTTGGAGCCAAAATAATATCTGAATTTTGACGCTAAAAGTATCTTAAAAACTTGATCAATATTTTTAGATTTTGGATAAGATTTATTATTCATTTATTGTATTTTAAAAATTGGATTATTTATATATATTTCGGATATTTTAATTAAGAAAAAAAAAATAAAAAACATTATATTTTAATTGGTCCGAAAATTCCTAATGATTAGCTAGGGATTTCGGATTTTTCTAGTGTGGAAAATCCGAATTTCTTAGTTAATTAATTTAGTGTATAATTGGAATTCTCTTAATTAATTAATTTATACAATATATATTATTTACACAATTATTTTTAATCCCTTAAATCTAGCAAAATAATTTCCTAAATTCTACATAAGGGGTCCGAAAATTTGAGCTATAGAAGCTCAAAATTTTCGGCCACCTTGGTTGATTTTTGGGTGATTTATTTTGGTAATTTGTATTTTTAATTATCTCCCCTAAATCTATTATTTTTCCTTAATTCTTATTTCCCATAATATTTGATCATCTTATTTCTCTACCTTATATAATCTTTGATTATTCCCCAAGCAAAGCGATTTGCCACATTATTTTCATGACAACATACTTTCCATAAATTAATTATTTTTTAGTCACCTTAACATTAAACTTTCCATAATTCTTTAGCTCTCTTCTCCAAGTAATTTCCTTAATTAATTTTACCATAATTATTCCTACATTCTCCTACCATAATTCTTGCATGAGCTAGCCTATAAATACCCCTTGAATCATAGCTAAACAATCACACCAAATTCTCTAATTTCTCTCTAATTCCCTTCTCTTCTTCTTGTTCCCTTGCGCCACCACCACGACAAATCACCACCTCCACATCCGGTTGCCACATGCCACCGACGCTGACCACCACCGACGACCACAGCCGCCGGAAGCCACCAGCTGCCGCCCCCTTGCCGCCACCTCTCTTCTCCTTTTTCCTTGGTTTTCTACTTCTTTTTCTCTTCTCTTATTTAATTAATTAATTATTATAGGAGATTTATAAAAATTATTATGAGTAATTTTAATTAAATAAAATCAAATTTTTATTCAAGTTTATGAAAAATAATTTATAAGGTTCATGTACATATAGTAGGGGGTTTTATTTTAATTATTGCGATTATTTGCTAGCCTTATGTTAATTAAGGTTATACTTATTTGTAGGGTGTGTTTGATCAAAGTTATTGAAGTTCGTTTGTGTGTTGCTAGCAAGGATCAAAGGTACGTTTAGGTGGCTAAATACCTTTGAAATTGATTAGATTGAATAAGCATGTTTTATATAATTTTTATGGTGATTGAATTAAATTGAATAGAATTATGATTTATGAAATAAAAGTATGTTTAAAGAATTGATTTTGATAAATAAACTGAGGATTGATTTTTATATCATGTTTTGAATAAATTATTTATCATGTTTTAAAAGGTTTGAGTTTAAAAGCATGTTGAATTAAATAAAAAGGAGGTTTTAAATTGTTTTATTATAAAGATTGGAGTTATTGATTTAAAGAGGATTTATTGAGTTATTTATAAACTCTTTACAAGCATGAATATTATATAAATCCCACTATGCGGATTCATTGAAGACTATGGACTTTGCATGACCTACTCTTTCCTCGAGGATAGACTTTCAACATAAAGATACTAGCTTGGGGTGTGTGCACAATTAGAGAGGAATTGAGTTGTGAAAAGAATTGATTTTAAATAATCACTATTTTTGAAATATTGAGTTATTGGGATTATATTGAGTATATTGAGAATTGATTTTTAAAACATGAGTTTGGAATTATTGTATTAATTATTGGAATTGGTTTTAAAAGCATGTTTGCTAATAAATTTTGCTAATAAATTGAATTTACTTATCTTGCACTTATCGTACTTAGCATATTTTGATAATCCGTATTTCCTATTTGTTTTGGTTCGCTCTGTTTGCCTTAATGGTAAGCAGTGTTGACTATTTTTAGGTGGACTCAATAAATGAGTAGTTTGGGAGCCTCGGGATATGCTTCACCTAGATCTAGGAATGTTGGTCTTGTTTCTATTTTGAGTTCTCATAACATTGATTACTATTTTTATCAAGTATCGATAAAGAAAGAGTTTGAAATTTCCGCTGCGAAGTTGTAGTTTTAATTAAAAGTTGAGTAACCTTGCGTAATCACGCGGTGGTAACACGCCTAAGTCTATCTCTACGGTATAATTATATGTATTATACTGATATTTTCGTAAAGGGAGATTTGGAGGTGTTACAATGAGTAATAGTTTATGAAAACTAAAAGAAATCTAACAACAATATATTTCATTTACATGACATAATATAAGAATAATGTTTTATAATATTTGAAATAGTCAACTTATGAGGCACAACACGTTAATAAATGAAATTTGTTTATCAATCGCAAAATTATAAACAAATCAACAAATTTTTATTAAATATGGGTCTCACGGTTGTTGAAATAATCACAAAAATGTCGACTGGATAATTTTGTTTATCAATGATCAATGTGATAAAATGAAGCTCCCTTATTTTTGAAGTATCATTGTCTCATGACATGAACTATTTTATAAAGAAAAAAAGTTACAATACAGTAAAACGATAACTAAGCACGGAACCAAGAAGGTGAGGAGATGAAGTGCGCCGGTAGATAACTGGATGCCTGAGAAGCTATATTGTGCAGTAGTTGGTGGCACCGCAGCGATTGATAATGTTTTCCCTTGCAAACATAGCGGAGAAGAATGCATATATTAGTCGTTTATATATTTAATTATACACTTGATAAAATTACGTTTTAATAAAGCATATGTGGTGACGCATTTAATAATTTCTCATATGACTATGTGTTTTTTTAATTGTGAATCACGAAATGTAATTGAAATTTAGTGTGTTAATAATGTACATTATTAAAATGTTTCAATTTAAAACAAAGGAACCACTTCGGTGATAATTCTTCAGCTTTTTTATTTTTTTTAACATATGCTTAATCAAAACCCATAAGACAATTTGTTGAGGCTTTGAAACCGCCAAACCTCAGCTTCAGAACATATTCAAAATTTCAAACACTTCATAATATTTTTTACCCTTTAAAACGTTATCGGGAATAAAATTAAGGGAAATCTTTTGATTAGTTCATAACTTGAGAAAGTAAACTGT